ATGTAAAGAAAATATTTGCAATTTTACAGCCCATAAAAGCAGCTTTTATGGCTACTGGAGAATTCTGATACCTCTGTGATAATTAACTCTATTGGGGAAGGGCAAATGAGTGATTTTCACCAAGCTTACTTGAGGTCGGAATGGATCCTCATCTCACGTACCACACAGAAGCTGTCCCTGACTCGCCCAATCCAGAACCAGACTAGAGAATTTTGATCAGGGCTTGCAAATTACTTAAAGCGTTACTGAGCTTGTCCCTTTAACTTGAAGGTTATTGACACTTTCCAGTCTCTCCTGAAGAATTTCCACCATTCAGGAGAAGCGTAAACAAAACTTACAATGTTTGGGTTTAAGGGGCTCTGGTGACCAACACAAGACAGGTTTGTCATTTTTTGTGGTAGGCAAAAACCTCCTTGGAATTATGAACAAATGTGTGCCTACTCACGAGTAGGCGAGATAACACAGAACCTTGCAGTTTGTGCTATCAAACAGACCCGAGATAATGACATATATTTGATAAAAATAATTTACAGTTTTTGGAGAGTTGGCCCCGTTGTACAGCAAGCATGCTCAGCCTCAACCCCCAGACTGGACAGAACTGTCACAAAGTTTAAGCATGGTTGAACAGAACTTACATCAGCACAGGACATTACCCACAACTGAGCAGAGTCTGGCTAAAAATGGAACATGAAACTACAGAAACAGAGATCAAAGAGCTCATGCAGGCATAACCGTCAATGAGTCACAGACAGGAAAACCTGTCCGCTATTGCAATGGTCACCAACCACTAACCAAGCTCACTGTCTGGTCAATAAGAATTTGAATGATTGATATGAATTTGAAAGTATGATCAAAGCTGGTTGACTAAATGTGTAGCAGGATTATATCTTCTCAGAATAGAACTATTGAGTCACTAAATTCTTACAAATTCCATAATCTGAAGCAAAGCATAAACATAAGTGTAAAGGAAGGCCCACATATTTCTCTTATTGGATGGGAAGATCCGGGTATGCAAAACAGTTCCAGTCTTCTTTTGTATTTGTCAAAATGTGTTTTGAAAACTTTCAACCAGAAAAAAACCGCTGCACCAAGTATCTGTAAAACCCTGACGACCAAAGAGCATTTCATGATGAATCAAGTGTCTACACGTATTCCGGTTGAGCATTAGAAATCCCAGAGTGCACTTTTTGCCAAAGAATAAATACTAAAACTTTCATTTATATTCAGACAAAATGGAAACATAATTAGATTGGTTTTTTACTGGGAAGTGTGTAGGCCTAATTATATCTTTAAAAAACTAACGTTTGAAGCAACAAACCTATTCCGTCGATAAGAACCATTTGCTAGCATGTTGGTTGAAAAGTTGTATTTATCATGGAAATGTGATAATAAAAATGCAAGCAAACATTGCCTTCTTGTGAAGTTTGTTCAAATGCATGCAAGTACATAAGTCTACCCCTTTATTTTCAGAATTCAATCTGACAAAATCAACAAAGCAAGATCAATAAAACAGATTATCTCCCATACAAGCTGACACAAACAGGTTTAAAACAAACACAGATCAATTCCCTAAACACTTTGAGTCTTTATTTGCAGGTTTTGTTTCAGAAGCGGATGTGGTGGCAGTTCATGAGTGTATCAGATTTTTAAAAAATTTTGACTGATAACTATGAACCACAGGTACCAATCCTGCCTTTCTTCTCAACCCTCAAAAACATTTCTCTGAAAAAGTCACATCTGCAGCAGACAATGGTCTTTCCAAAGTTCAGCCCCATATTTTACCCGTGTCACTTGGTGGTTAGCCTGTCATTGACTGCGCGCACACAAGGAGCAATGAGCCACAAGCTATGCATGCTGATTGGAAAATAATCTCTGAGTGGTTAGCCAATTAGAAGGGTGTTCCTGGTCACATGACACTCAGCCCTTCTGCAATTCTAGATTTTGGTCACTGCTCATTTGCTACTGTTTGACCTGTGTACATGTACATTTTGCAGGTGAGTGTGTGTAGGAAGTCTATCACATGATCAACACCACTGCATTTTATCTTTGAGATACTCAAAAATGTTCACTTAGCAGTGGTAAGACCATCCCACACAGTACGTTTCATTTCGTTCAAGTATAAAAACTCCTGGCTTGAGTCTAATATCAACATTAAACCCACATGTGCATACTCTCCCACCCCTTCAAAATATTTACCCACTTGCCCCCATTTATGACTCTAATGCACTAGAACACCCCCCCTTGTGTGCCTACAACCATTCACAGTTAGTAATTCGGCCAAATATTGGCAGAGGCTTGTAAACAGGTTTTAAGGCTTTGACAGGCCCATAAGGCCATTTAACAAGGCGTTGTTAGGCCCCCTCCTCAATCACATCCACTGACCTATTTGCGTTGGCATTTTAGGTCGACTTCTTTCCTTAATTCACTTGCAACTAATTATCTAACAGTCTTATCTAGTCCTCCCCACAGCACAGACTGCATTAAGAATTCAGTGAAATCAAACAAATGAAGCAAAAGTTTAATCACAAAACTTGAAACTTGTGCTTTGACTCAACTCAGGTTAATGTTCACACTGGAAATTCCTGGGGTCACTTATGCAATCACTTCTGTTTCTTTTTTAAAGTGGTGTTCTTTTCAAGTACAGCTAAAAAGTTCCCCTTTTGCAAGTTAAACTTAGACTTAGAGGTAAGTCTACCTGTATTGTGAATTCTGTCCTGGAACGCAAGCCTGGTGATAGTGAAAAACGAGAACTGCAAGAATTTTTCTCCCTCGAAGCCAAGCGCTGTGCCCAGGCCAACCATGGGCCAACTCAAACCACTCCTACCCACCGAGTGCCCAAAGATATTTACTCGGTAATTTCCTGCGAAAAAGTGTTGCAGAACTGCTCTGTCAACGGTCAAGTCCTTCCCCGCAGTCAAAAAAACCCCAGGAGCTCTGTACCTACAGCGCAGAACGTGGCAACCAAATGGTTTTCAAAAATTATTTTCCACTTGCCGGCTGTGTTTTCCCGGGGCACCCATGGAGCAATTACAAAGACTCCATGTGCTACAAACACATGATTCGGGAACAAAAAAATCCAAGACCCGCCACTTCGGCAAGGAAACCATCCCGTCCATCAGTATTGGCTTGGGGACCAATTTTCTCCATTCGAACTGCTTTTTATGAAACCGTTGATGGATTGATCAATGTGCTTAAAAAGTCCACAGTCCTTGAAGGTTTACCTGCCGCACCAAACCCGCCCAGGATTTATGGGCGGGCTTGACAGGAATTGATGTCTTGTTCTTTTCTTATCCACCTGGCGGTGCTTTTTAGTGTGGGAGGGTACAACACAATTGGGAATTGAGGTATTCGGCCATCTATTTTGTCAAGCCACCTGCCAGTTCAAGTTTGTGGTGAAAAAGAAAAAGTGCACTAATGGTCTTGGACAAAAACCGGGCCGTGATGTTGACAACAACTGTCCAAATCCTCAATCACGCTGCTCCATTTCTCACGGTAATTAGACCCACGTCGGACCCAAAATCAAGAAACCGATTTTGGCCGTGTTACAAATTCGCAACAATACTTTTAAAAAAAGTGCCCCCCCCCTAAAAAAGTTTCGCCGCGTTCTGGGGTAAACTCCGTCACGTTGCGGACTCAATGTGGATTACATTTCACCCAAGCAAACCACACGCTTGCAAGTCCCAGACAAAAACTTCTTCGCTTTGTGGACTTAGCATTCAAGTTTTATAGGGTTACCAGACAATAACGGACTTTCAACTCATTCAACCGCAATCCCAATGAATAAATTCCCAGGTGAGAATCGGCCTGCGGTGCATCAAATACAAAATTTGTGTCCAAACAGTCATAGAAATCGCTCCACTCCATGGTCCAGGGGAAAGTACGAAGGAACTTGAGGGGGACCACACCGCGAGGTCGCGGGGCAGATGCTGAGGTCTAATTGGTGAAAAACAAGCCCTGGCTGGTTCATGGTTCGTTTGACGGGGAGAAAAGATTTCCTGTTACCGGCCCTTCGCGCTGAAAGACCCTCTATTTTTGACAAGAGGGTCGGGAGTTCCTTAATTTCACGGGGCCAGTGCTGGCCCACCTCGCTCAACACGGCTTCAGACTTTTCCCCGTTCTCTTTGCTATTTTAGTGGAAACAAAGGTGATGAAAAGAGTTGATCGCGAGACCACGCCGTCCGTATTTCACGCCAGGCTTCCCAAAGTTTGGTCTGGAAAGCCTATCGCCCGGGGGGTTGGCAGGTTTTCCCCGCATGTTTGGGCCGATGGTTGGATATTTCCCCAAGACGTTAGATTTGCTATTCTTTCTTCGCAAATACAAGTGAAACTAGATAAACACACTAACAAAATAACGCAAGGCATTTAGTCAGGGCAAAACCAATATTACGTAGAAAACCTCTCCAGGGATTTAAGTTGTCGTTTGGTTTGCGGAGAACTCCTGCACAACTAACATACAGGAGAACAAAAATGTAGCCAGGAAGTATCAAAATTTGTCAGCTATCTTTGAAGAACGTTGTTTGTACCTTTCGATTTATCCAAACAATTTATATGTAGTTTGGTATACAGTACCATTAATGCCAATTGCGAAATAGAAAGCGTACTCATAGTACTGATCAATACTGTTCTAGAGCAACTCAGGAGAAGACAACTAAATACAAAAACAGTGAAACAGAAAAAAAATAACACAGCCCTAGAAGAAATTATTTCCGGGGATCAACATTTCATCCCAGTCTCGGCGATCATCTGTTTTATCTCGTTGGTAACGCTCTCATCCTTCGGATTCCGGAGCAATCTGTTTTTTTTTCCTGTGACTATATCAAAACTCGAGCTGCGTCAAGCGGTTTTTTTGCCCTCGGGAAAAAATCTCAGCACGAGCCATGCGATTTCCTGCTACTGCCAGAAAAGGCTGACCAGCTGAGCGAAATGTGATTATATCTGCATACCGGACGGGAGAAAGTAAAAAATAATAACGGGATGTATGATCCTGTTATTTAACTTACCTTGAGAAAAGGCCACTGGAATTAAACAGTTCAGAAGACAAAAAGCCACGGTCGATGTCAATCGGCATGATCGGTGCATTTTCGAGGGGCAGGCTGCCCCCGTATGTCCCATGGCTCCTGTCGCAGCCGTCCGCTCAGTGTAAGCATTCACTCCCAGTGCTACCGAAACAGTCAAAGGCTGCTTTCTTCAAATTCCACGGAAAGATGACGATCAGTTTCCCGCTCAGGTTACTCGTTGGACTCCTCTATCGGAGGCGAGCAAAGATCTGTCGCATGGTGTCACAGAAATCGAGAAAATTGACAGTTAAACTTCGGAGATGTTTCTGAAAATGAGATATATTGTTTATGCACAAATCCAATCACCAGTCAATGATGCACATAGTACATACGTGGTCCGGTCCCGGGCGCGTAAATATAACGACGTGTGTGCGATATGAATGAATGGAGGGCTTACTGCGCATGCACACACACGTACACAACGGTGATATTTTTAGACTCTTCGATTATTTGACGGGGGTGAATAATAACTGTTCACATCAATAATGATCACGTTTACACAATCAGTGTCACTCCAGATGTAGATATTTCTTTATTTCACTTAGAACACTAGCGTAAGCTTTTGAGCTAAATATGTGAGATGTGAATTAATTTTAATCTTTAAAAATTTAAGCAATAAGGTAATGAACCTCACTCTGAAATAATGGCGTAAACAACCAGTTTTATCATCCCGATCCTGTCGATCCCGATCTGAACGGTGAACAACTCGAAAACCACCATAAACGACTGCCCGTTTGTACAAAATACATGTATGAAAAATCAATTACAACTGAGTGTTAAATGTTTGCGTTTATTATTAAAACGTTGCACTTAGCTGATTAAGATTTACCACAGTCGAGACACTTGCGAAGTTATTCAGACCTCCTGTCGCCCATCCAAATGAATATTCACGTTGGCACATTTTGACGAGTTGAACTGAACTCGACATTCATAGAGTACGGCGCGGAGCTGGGAAAAAACCACGTTTTTCCACATTTAGGGTAGGGACAAATCTCGAGATAAATGAAGACAAAGTCCTACATATAACTTTAGTAAATTCTATTTTTGGCATTCGTTGCGCAGAGGATAGCTCCATTCGAGTATATTTCCACGTGTAGTAGGCCTAAAGATTTCTAAAATCTACAAAACAGCCCGTCTGCCTACAGGGAAGGGCCGGAGTAGTAAAAAGTGAGGAAAAAATTGCATATTGATGCAGACGCTTCACACGGTGAAAAAATAATAATAATTAAATAAACTGGTCGATGCTCTTGATGTCAATCGTGGTGAATAAGGGAAAATGAAGGGCCTCATTCAAGAAAATCCAGATCACTGAAAATGAGTGAGACGAAGGCAAAATTAAGTTGGGCACGAATAACGACAAGTTGATCAAACTGCTACACTTGGGACATTCCGATACCTGATAAAGGAGCATATGTTGGTGTGGTGCACAGGTGCAAAGAAACCCCTAACTTTGGGCTTCAAAAGGGAGAGACCCTTTGAAACTTACTTTCAAAACCGAATGGCAAAAGTAGTTCATTCTGTGGGCACTGACAGAAACCACGTTTATTTTCCAGAGCGACCCAGAGGTCACAACGCAGTCGTTCTCGTCACTTTAGAGACAAAGTCTAATCCCTCACTCCCCTCCACCGCTAAACGGAAAAGATCCCGCTCACAGTCTCCAGCAGTAAATCTTTTCGCTCCTCGTTCGTCTGTGGCCTCTGCTGTTATATTTAATCGCAGGTGATAAAAGTGGTCTTGTCCTAGAATTCCTGAGCTATGACCAGACGTGTCCTCCAGTTGTACCACTATGTAAACACGGCCGGACTGGATCACTTCCTGAATAGAGCGTATTCGCGGAGACCAAATTTCAGTTTAATTCCCTAACGTAGTGTATTCGTTAGAAAACGTCAAATTTAAAGAACCAGACTGTATTGTTCTGCGATTTC